AGCACTTGCTTTTTAGGGTGCGCCCCAGTATCATAGAATGTTAGAGTTGGAAGGGACCTAGCAGGTCATCTAGTCCAACCCCCTGCACTCTGCAGGAGCATAGCTGAAAGACAACATACTTGAAAGATGGTCGTCCAAGCCTCCACTTGAAAACGTCCAGCAAAGGAGCATCCACCACCTCCTGAGGCAGTCTGTTCCACTGCTCAACCACTCTTACAGTTAGGAAGTTTATCCTGATATTTAGCCGGTAACGACTCCCTTGTAATTTCCACCCATTAGATCTAGTCGTGCAATCCGGAGCATGAGAGAATAGATCTGCTCCATCTTCTACATGACAGCCCTTCAAATACTTGAAGACTGAAATCATGTCCCCTCTAAGCCTTCTCTTTCCCAGGCTAAACGTACCCAGCTCTTTCAGCCTTTCCTCATAAGACTTGGATTCAAACCCTCTCACCATCCTGGTTGCCCTCTTCTGGACACGCTCGAGCTTGTCAACATCCTTCCTAAAATGTGGTGCCCAAAACTGGACACAGTACTCCAGGTGAGGCCTGACCATAGCAGAATAGAGTGGAACTACCACCTCCCGTGATCTGGACACAATGCTTCTGTTAATGCATCCTACGTAGACTTCCCTTTCTTCTTCTGGGGGTCAGGACAAGGCAACTCAGGTTTGGACCCGATACTGGTTCCTGCTCCTCTTGTCTCTCTCTCTGTTCCCCATGATGATGGTGGGGTGTCGGGTAGGAGAAATGGCTATTCCTGACAATCTGTCAGGCCTCCAGTTAACTCACTCTCGAACACAGGCTTTCTTCAGAGAAAGTTTATTGAAAAGATTTGAGGTACTGTAAAGGTGAACTCTTTGTCAGGAATAAGGGGCAAAGGCGGGGACCTAGTGTATAACTAAAACCCATAATCCACTCATACGTCACGCATTCATAAGTGTAAGCAGTTCTAAGAACCCAGACAGATACAATGGTTCAACTAGCTATTCAAAGTCTTATCTTCAAAGACATTCCCATGAGAATGCTCCTGAGGTGCTGATTGAGAAAGTTGTTACTGCATTGCCTCCCTAAACTACAGACATTCACAAAGACTCCCTCCCTCCCCCAAGAATGTCAGCGAGGGTGAATGATAAGTGGGCGGCTAGATACATTTGCTGCAGCTGGGGAATGAGGAGGCGGAGAAGGGACAGGATGCGGTTACATTAAAGCAGGTAATAACACTACAGGTACAGGTAGCATTGTAAAAGGCAAACCCGAGTCTGACAGATGGGTTCAGACTCAGCTGGCTCTGTTTCAACCATCTAGCCACAGCCTCCAATCCCACATTCAAGTCAGCTGGGGTGGCAGCCGTCCATCCATCCATCTATCACCAGATATAGTTGGGTGTCATCAGAGTACTGGTGACAACACAGCCTGAAACGCTGCACTAGCTGGGTAAGAGGGCGCATATAGATGTTAAACAACATAGGAGAGAGGATGGCCCCTTGGGGAAACCCACACACCACACATCAGGCGCCACCCTCTGTCCCCGAACCCTAAAGGAAAGAAGTGAGCTATTTCAAGGCTACTCCACAGACTCTTATGTCGATGAGGCAGTGGGCCAACAGGTCATGGTCGACTATGTTGAATGCTGCTGTCAGATCTAACAGCAGCAGTAATGCTGACCCGCATCGATCCAGCTGTCTGAGGAGATTCTCCATGACAGCGACCAGCACCGTCTCCGTCCCATGACCAGGGCGGAAGCTGGATTGGAATGGGTCTAGGGGCCAATGTACCCTCCAGGAAACCCTGATATAATTAATTTCCATGCAGCTACTTATGAATTTGCATTTACCTTGGTTTTTCAAGGATACTATGAAGAAAATTACTACATTAAACTGGATTAAGATGCTGACCTCGCCCTTCAGTATAAAATTACATCTGAGGAAGACTGTATAGTTGAAATGAGTTTATACCGGATACTAATCATGTAGAACTATATTGGACCTGTTGTTCACAATATTGTGCAATTGATATAACTTTTTGTAATTTTATAAGTCTTGAAAGTAATATAAATCTTTTGATATGTTTACATCACAGGATTGCTTATGTGTTTTTCCTGTCAGATCTAACAGCAGCAGTAATGCTGACCCGCATCGATCCAGCTTTCTGAGGAGATTCTCCATGACAGCGACCAGCACCGTCTCCGTCCCATGACCAGGGCGGAAGCTGGATTGGAATGGGTCTAGGGGCCAATGTACCCTCCAGGAAACCCTGGACTTGCTCAGCCACCGCTATCTCAATTACCTTGCCCAGGAATGAAAGATTCGAAACTGGGTGGTAATTGGCCAGATCCAACAGATCTAAAGATTTTTTTTTAAGAGCAGTGTTACCATGGCCTCTTTTAATCCCACTGGATAGACCCCAGAACCAAGGCTCCCTCTAAGCTGTGGAGTCCTGTGAGCAAAAATTCTACTTGGTGAGCTCCTGGCATTAAAGTTGTGAGCGAGCGATTTGGCTGCTGCATGAATTCGTTTGCTCTGAACCCCTCCTTCCTGAGCTAAGACAAAAATCTGTGAGCCGGAGGCTAAAAAACTGTGAGCTAGCTCACACTAACTCAGCTTAGAGGGAACACTGCCCAGAATTAAGGAACAGGTTGATAATGTCCATCAGGGGGCCCCATATTCCATCACCGCTGGCTTTCACCAGCTATGATGGACATGGGTCCAAGAAACAAATGGTCAGCCTAACAGAACTAAGGATCTTGTCGACATCAGCCTGAGAGAGTCAAGTACAGTTGGTAATAAAGAAATAGATCCTCAACTGCCAGAAGCATTAAGAAGATCTGCAAGGGAAAAGTTACTTTTGAACTTTCCAGACCTTTATTATTTGTCAGTCTGCAAAAGCAATAAAAAATATAGTCCTACATTTTGCAAGGTCATACGGAGCTCTTCTCAACTGTACTCAATATCATGCCTGTGTATAAGTAAAAATCTGTCTGATGCCAGTGAGTCAAGATCCACAAGTGCTGTAAACATTATCGAGTAGAGATCACAAGCAATGCTATCCAGCTACCACTGAAACCATTATTCCATTTCCCTTAAGTTCATCATGGTATAGAACTCCAGATCTCAAGAATCTCGGCTTTCTCTTTTGTTCTAAACCCAGTTTTTAAACCCATCCCCGAGGCAGAGACCACCTAGCTATGCAAAGACACTGTATAGCTTAGAAATGAGAAGAAGGCAGGGTGATGTTTCAAGGCAGTAGGAACTTTACTTGTTAAAATTATGTTATAGAGCAGTGGTGGCGAACCTATGGCATGGGTGCCAGAGGTGGCACTCAGAGCCCTCTCTGTGGGCACACGTGCCATCGCCCCAGCCAGGCCCAGACCATCATTAAAGTGTCGAATTCTCAGCCAAATAATAAGTAAATGAAAGCATTTGGGATTGCTTTCCTTACTTTGTTTGGATCATCTTAAGTTAATGTATGAGTTGTTTTTTCTAAAGTAAAACCTCAGTATTCAGGTTAAATTGCCGCGTTGGCACTTTGCGATAAATAAGTGGGTTTTGGGTTGCAGTTTGGGCACTCGGTCTATAAAAGGTTCGCCATCACTGTTATAGAGTCTCAGCAGAGCTCCTGGATCAGCCAGAGCAATGTGCATTTATCCAGGAGGAGGAGTATGACAACCGGGGAAAATGCTAGGACTCTGGCTGCTCAGGCAATCAAGATCTGATGCTAGATTTTTATTGTTTCAAGTCAGCACAGAACTGCCTCTTTGAATGGTTTTTTTAACTGGAGCTCCTAGAAAGCTGAAAATATACTGCCAGACTCAGGTCCACTTAGTTCTGCTCAGAAAGCCATGTCCAAACATCAGGATTGTGGTCAGAATTCATGTGCCCTTTCCCATCACTACATTTGCTCCCACAGTTATATATAGGTGAGCCATTACTTTGCAGTAAATCAATAACTACACGAGCGACATTATTCTAGCATCAGCTTTTGAGACTGGGTCCCATTTCCTCAGATGCAAGAGCATAAGTTCACGGAGCAGGAGCACTTAAGAGGGATTATTCTTTTAGAGGTCAGAAGTTGTTTTTTGCTGCCTTCAAGCTATGTCTAAATATTAAACTGGCCCAGTCGCATTAATTAACAAGAATAGCCTAGCTGTGTTTCTAAGAGGAATTTTTCCTTGGTGGTTGCACAGAAGTTCAACAGAGGCTCCTAGGATAAACACAAGCTGAAGCCAAAGGCTCAGTGTGGCACTTTTCTTCCAGAGAGTTTGCAAACAATGGGTTGCCCTCACTATAGTGTGGCACATTGACTCTTCCACCTCTGGAGGTGCGAGGGAAGTTACTTTATTGGGTTATTTGGAATATTTTTATTCCATTTTTCTTCTGTACACATAGCACTCAAGGCAGCTCAGGGGGAAAAAAATCAAACCCACTTAAACACATCTCTAAAACAACTAGTAAGACAAACAAGGTAGAAACAAATTATATCAAAAGTGCAGTGGCACCAGAGAACAGTAAAATAAGAAAATGGCAGCTGCAGCAATGGAAAAACTGCACCAGTGGATCACATTTGCCAGCCTCCAAATCCATGTTTGAAATAAAAAGGTCTTAACAGAAAGCCCACAGGCATGGAGTGAAGGGGCCAGGTAGGCTCCTTGAGATAGAGAACTCCACTGTTTGCTCAAAAACATGAGTTGGTACAATGTTGGGTTTCAGTCTATCTTACGGACCTGTTTCTGCATTGGAATCACTCCTTTGGGGAAAAGTGGCTGGGAGGGAGGACAGCGGCAGGGAGGAAAGAAAGGATAGAGTTCAGTACATCCCTTGTCCTCAGATTCTCCATTGCAAAGTAAGCCCCTGTATACTAGAAAACTAGAATAGAGGTGTTTCATTCACAAGTTAGCCAGTAGAAAGGCTTATCCTCTCCCAATCCCTCTAGAAAAAAGACTGAAAATGCAAAGGAGATGTATGGCTGTTTAAATCAACATAAAAATAAGTTATCTGTTACCTGCAAAGTCCTGCGTTTGTTGTCTTCTGTGTGTATCCATGCCCGCAATGTCAACTCCGTGATGAATATCTGAGCAGCCTTGGCAAACAGCACAGGTGCTTCAGCACTGATCATCTGCAAGCAACAATGTCTGTTTTACTCCCACTGCGAAAACCCCCCGGATCTTGCCTCATTAAGGCCTGAGGATGCCTTCTCAGATACAGACACAATAGCAATCAAGGTGCTTATTACATTGTTGTTCATTATACTGTGCTCGGATCTCATCCCAAGGAGCTCAGAATGACAGGTGTGAATTATCCTGTGAGGAAAAGTAAGGCTGACTGCAAACATATGGCCCACAGTTATCCAGTGAGCTTAGTCAATAAACAACACTTTAAACTCCCTGGTCCAGTTGAAACACTGTCAGCTACACAGCCCTGACTCTAAATTTGGAAGGTTACAAGATAAAGAAATCTTGTGGCCTCTCCAAGCCAAGTTACTGCAAGATATCAAAGTGAAGCACTCTGAAGGGAGCTGTGAAAAACAGTCCTTAGTCTCCTACAGAGTATGCGGGTTCCTGGGTTTGCAGTTCTCCTAGCATAAGGAAATAGCAGAACCACCCTGTGGCCCTGTAGTTTAAAAATTTGCACAAGTCAATTTCCTTTGGCATGAAGGAAATTTTGTCTTTCACTCAGAGCCGGCAGCCAGCTCCGAGGTTCACCTCTTGTTACTTTTCAAATGAACACTCCAGCTACGCGCAAGGTTCAAGGAAACACAGTCCTCCTGTGACATTCCTCTCTGTAATGTTTTTGTTAATTACACCAATATCCTGCCCTTCTACTTACAAAATAGAAGGTAAAGCAATAACATGAATTAAATAATAAAAAGCCAACAATAAAAAACAAAATAAACACAATAAATAGCAGCTGTATTGGAAGAGGAAGGCATCAAAGGTACAGCTACCAAGGGTGTTGATGGAAGACACATTATCCAGGAGCCTTGCTGAATCAAAGGAGATTAGAAAACAGAAGATAAGAGAAGCCATGTTGGATCAAGCCAATGGCCCATCTAGTTCAGCACTCTGTGTCACACAGTGGCTAAAACCCAGGTGCCATCAGGAGGTCCATCAGTGGGGCCAGAACTCCAGAAGCACTCCCACACTGTAGCCCCCCAAGCACCAAGAAAATCTGAGTCTGGTTAGCGCTTGGGGGGCGGACATACCCTTCCCCCCAATGTATGCTGCATAAAGATATTAAGAACATTTAGTAATATATAATATTGGCCAAAGCAGAGTAGTCCCCTTTCCTGAGCAGGGGGTAGGAGACAAACATGGGCTTACAGATCTGATATGCTGATGGACTGTCCTACAACTCTTTTGGCATAGGGAAGTCTTCTCTACCTACTATGGCCTGCTTCCATTTCAGGTAGCAACATCTGGAATCACGAGTCCACTCCCCACCTCAAAAAAACCCCACATTGCTTTTGTTTCCCACAAGGCTTTCCCTTCTAGCTTCAGCACAACATCTCATGCTGTATTTTGAGATGTGGGCCAATTGAGAGTCAGGCTGCGCTTTCTAACTTAAGGGGAGAAGCAGTTTTAAAAGTGAAAACAAAGTAGCTCAGAACTATGGGTGTGCATTTGGTAAATCCGAACCGAAACCCCCCCAGTCTTTTCGGGTTTTTTTGGCTTTTGGAATACCGAATCAGCTTCCCTGAGCTGATTCGGATGCCGAAAAATGAATTCCAAAAAACCCTGAAAATTTTGGGTTTTTTTCAGGAATACCAAAAACGGCTCTGGGAGGCCTTAAAGTTTAAAGCAGGGGTGTCAAACATGCGGCCTGGGGGCTGGATCAGGCCCCCAGGGGGCTTCTATCAGCCCTGCAGTGGAACTGGCTGTCTTCTGCTGCTTCTTTCGTTCTGCTGCTGCTGCGTCATCGTAGGTTTGTAGCTTACAGATACACACCTGAACAGCATACTCAAGATTGCAATAGCACAGACATTTTGATGCAATAATTCAGAACAAGAGATGTCAGTTATCAGACACTGTTAAACGAACAAAATATTGAAAGAGTGCTAATATTTTAAGCATGTTTTTATTTTAAGTAAAAACCCTTTGTTCTGCATCCTTTATAAAGCAGGGGAGGGAGGGAGGGAGGGAGGAAGGAGGGACGCCACCAGCAGGAGAAGCAGGAGGACGCCCAGCCGGGGTGCAGGAGGCAGCGCCGCAGCTCGCCCTCCCTCCCCCCTCAGGGGGGAGGAGGCAGAGGCGGCATGGTGGTGACCAGCGGGGACTCACCACCGCCAGCAGGAGAAGCAGGAGGACGCCTGGCCAGGGCTCAGGAGGCAGCGCCGCAGCTCGCCCTCCCTCCCCCCTCGGGCCGGGGGGGGGGGGGGAAGGCGGCAGCAAAAGGGTCTCCAGGCCCCAACGGGAGGTTGGCATCTGTGCCTCGCCTAGGGCGCAGAAACACCTCGAGCCGGCCCTGCACTCTCCTTGGTTTTCCCTCCGTTTTTGCCTCCTTCCCGCCTCTTGCTCTGGTTTCCAGGAGGGAGGGGGAAGAGGGACCTTGCAGACAGCCAATCACTGCAGTGCATTTCCAAATGCCATTGCAGCTTGCAACTTTTTGTAAGGCTGTTGTTGCTGCTGGCTTCAGTTATTGAAGCCCAACTACTAGCTTGCTCCTTTCACAGGGAAGGAGCACTGGCCAATAGGATTTTGGCATTCTGCTCTCTGGCCAATCACAGAAGTTTGTTCCTTTTTGAAATATTTCTGTGTATGCCCAGAGAGCATAAAAGCAGACTCTCTGGCTGGCTGACTCCATTCCTGTTCCTGCTGCTGCTGAGAGACAGCCTGGATTGGAGATTATGTGGCTGGGTTCTGCTTCAGTCACTGCTCTGAGCCTGCTTTCCTGCTGCCGCTGCCTGGAGTCTTGGACTACTTTGGATCAAGACAACAGAAGACTGAAGACATCACTGATTTGATTTATATTAGGGCCACTTTTTAAAAAGTTATTATTTTGTTGTGGGTTGGGGCCTGGGGTTGGTGTAGTGGTGGTGGGTAGGCCTCTAGCCTAGGGCCTCTCAGGCCTCTTCCTGGGTTTTTTGGGGGCAGGATTCTCTTCTTTTAGATTGTGGTTTTTCCAGCCTGCTGTTTTTGCATTTTCCTTTTTTCCCTTTTTATACTGTGATTGATATTTTATTTCTTGGCTTGCTGGGGCTTTTTTTTGCGGGGGTGTGTGTTACTGGCTAGGCCTTCTGCCTGGGGCCTAAGCTTTCTGTTTTTGGTTCTTGTGCTTTGTGGTTCTGTTAGCTTTTTGCAGTTTAAATTTTTTTAAGTTCCTGTATTGTATTTTCTGGGCTTGTTGGGACTTTTTTTTTGGGGGGGGGGTACTGACTAGGCCTTCTGCCTGGGGCCTAGGCTCTCTGTTTTTGGTTCTTCTTGTCCTGTGGTTCTGTTGCCTTTAAGTTCCCTTTCTTGTGTTTTCTGCACTAGTCGGGGAAGGGGTTTGGGGGTGGGGTTTACTGACTAGGCCTTCTGCCTGGGGCCTAGGCTCTGTCTGTTGCCTTTTAGTGGTTCTGTTCTGTGCCTTTTAGCAGGTTTTGTTGTGTGGACTTTTGGCTTTCTTAGGCGTAGGGGTCACTGCTCTGTGTGTGCTTCTGGTTTAGCTGCTGCACCATTGTTAAATAGGCTTTTAATAAAGGTTTCAGGTATTTTTAACTAATATTTTTAAATAAATCTCAGCATAGGGCTTTAGCTGTTCTACCTTTAACTAGGCCAATGCTAGGAGGACAAAAAGAGGACAGGTTTGTTTTCAGCTCACAAAACAGAGCTTTAAGTAGCGTATAACTTTTCAAAAAGTAGTGTGCAGTTGCTTGTGCTCTGACTGAACTTTGGTGAGGCCAGGCACTTTTGTCAGATAAATTTTTCCCCTTTAGCTTCTGTGTTTAATTAGGGAACACCTGCATTCCACAGGGAATCAGGCTGGTTCCAGCAGAATCTAGATAGGAGTAGTTTAAAATCCTAAAACTTTTAAAAAGGTTTCCAAGTCACATCTCAAGGACAGTCTTTAAACCATAGTCAGGGTCAATGTAGGAATTCACTAGTTCTAAAAAGAAACAAACCAAGAAAAAAAGAGAAAACCCAAACTGAAGCAAGGCTAGGTTAGGCTCTACTGAAATAAACAAGAACCTAGCTTTTGGGTGGGAGGGTTTATAAAAAGGTGTGAGGCTGCTTTAGGGTCAGGTGATAGTGCAGGTAAATTAGGTGCCTAATACCCCCCCCCCATAAGTTAGGCTGAGTTTGGCCAGGGGCAACATGAGTGACAGGAAGGGAACGCAGAGGGGCCCTGGGGGCAAGGCTAAGCAGAAGACTAGAGGGGTGGAGGGGAGGGGGAGAGCAGCGGTTCCCCCCACACACACACGCAGGACCGCTCCAGAGACATCTAGCACCTCTCCGACCTCTGGCCAGGGTAATGCAATGAAGAGGCCATGCGTGGCCCTCTTCCTTGGGAAGGATACTTCTGGAGTGGCCCCAGCAGAGGTGCCTGCAGGTGCTGGCACTGGGCAGGGGTCTGCTGCTCAGGCAGTACCTCCTCAAGCCATTTCTGCTGAGGCTCAGCAGCAGGATGAGGTGCAGCCAGAGCTGTCTTTGGGGTTGAGCTTTGGGGAAACTCTGTCTTCAGAGCTCACTCCACGGGCTGTTTTCAGAACTCACTCCACTGGAGGAGGAGCTGGCCGGCCAGCCCACTGCTCCGGTTTTTCTAGGCTCCAGCAGGCCTCCTGAGGGACAGGAGAAGAGGCTGGGAGAGGAGGAAGAGATGGAGGTGGTGCACCCCAGGGACCTGCCATCTCAACCCCTTCCCCCTGCTCAGCATTCTCTTCCTGCCCCCCAAAGACATGGTGTGCCTGGCCCGAGCCCTCACAGGAGGCGGCTCCAGGTGTGCCAATGGCTGCTGGTCAGCATGGGTGCCCCTTCACCTCTGAAGTCTGGAAGCACTTCCAGGTGACAGAGAATCCCTGCTTTGCACAGTGCCAGCTGTGTAGGGTATGGGTAAGTCAAGGGAAGGACATCAGCCATCTCTCAACCTCCAGGCTGTGGAACCATCTGAAGAAGCACCACCAGGCAGTGCTTCTTCAGGGGGAGAGACAGGCTGCTGCTGGGGTGCCCAAGCGGCCACCACCAGCCGTTTGGGCACCCCAGGTGGGCTCACCAGGTGAGCTAACACCTCCAGCGGTCTCCCTGAGCATTCCGCAGTAGGGATGGGGCAGGGACGCCAAGCATCTCTGACAGAGATGTTTGGCGACGTCGGCACTAGAATGCCGGGGGGGGGGGGGCAGTAGGGTAGCCAGAGGGTCACTCGCCTCATTGCTGAGATATTTGCTCTAGATGGGCGCCCCTTCTCCGCAGATGAAGACTTGGTTTCCTCAGGCTGCTCCAGGATGCCTATCCCTGGTACACACACCCTACTCCCACCACACTGAGCAGGATTGTGATGCCCTCATTGTACAGGGCTGCCAGGGACCACGTAGAGGCACAGTTGTCCTGCGCTCGTGAGAGATATATGCACTTCACGTCCGACATCTGGACCTCCTGTCAGGTGCATGGTTTGTATCTATTGTTGACTGCGCACTGGTGTCAACCAAGCGACGATTTGGGTGGGGGAGGGGAAACCAGTGTCAGACAGGGTCAGGGCCGCCGGGCTGGCTACTGCCAGACTCTGCTCCACGCCGAGAAACTCGATGGGCCGCACACGGCAGACAACATCTCGGCCACCATCGAGAGACAGTTAGCGGCGTGGGCAGGCAGGGGCCTCACAATGGGCTTCATGGTGACCCATGGTGGCACGAACATTAGGGCAGCGGCAAAGCGACTGGGCCTGATGTGCATTTACTGTGCGGCCCACCTTCTCCACCTCATGGTCAAGGATGCTTTGGGGGTGGGTTCTGTGGAGGATCCCAATCTGGATGCTGAGACTCGTGAGTTCCGGCATCTCCTCCAGAAATGCCAGTACTTTGTGAGTCACTTTTCTTGCAGTACGAAGGACACAGTTCTGCTGCGCGAGAAGCAGATGCTGGCAGCGTGCTAGTGCACCGCCTGCTTGGCGACGTCCCCACTCGCTGCAACTCCACCTGTGTCATGCTTGAACGTTTGGTGGAGTAGGAGAGTGCCCTGACTGCCCTGATCTCTGAGAGTGGGGTCATTCGGGAAAAGAGCCGGCTCAACCGGGAGGACTGGTTGACCATCTCTCAGGCTGTGGAAGTTCTTAAGCTCTTTAAGAGCTGCACAGAAATGCTCTTGTCTGACACGGCAAGTCTGGCTCTGGTCATCCCCATGGTCCACACGGCCCGTGAGGACTTGGCCTCGTTTCTGGAGCCAGCTGTAGGACGTGCAGAGATGTTTCCTGCAGTATGCGTGCTGGAGAGAAGGCTGCAAAGCGGACTCGATCTATCCTCTGGCAGAAGGTCTATATGACGGCGACCATGTGTGACCCACACATCAAGGGCAGGATCGCCGAGCGCGCCAACAAGTTCACTCAATGACGAGACGAGATATCCCAGCGAGTTGAGCGCATGCAGGCCAAGAGGGTCACATTGCCACAAGCTGAGGGAGAGGGGGGTGCCAGCAGCTCCACTGCTGTTCGTCCCCCACCTCCCCTGCTAGGCAGCATCCCCCCCACAACTTCCGTCATGATGACTGTTGAGATGGCAGTCTTCAGGCAGATCCTTGACCCCTCTACTGGGAGCGGCAGACACACGAGACAGGACACGGTGGCTGCGATGGTGAGGGAGTACCTTTTGGAACCCTATGAGTCACAGGCAACCTGTCCACTGAGCTACTGGGCCATGAAGGAGGCAGTCTGGTCGGACTTCTCTGCCATGAGCTCCTCTCATGCTCTCCTCTCATGGTCTCCGATGAGCGTGCAGAGTAAGTGCGTTTTTTCCTATGTGGGCAACATTGTCTGCTCGCATCGCTCACGCCTGCTCCCCTGGTCAGCTGAGCAGTTGGTCTTCCTGAAGATCAACTTGCCACTATTTGGTTTCCCAGTCCTGGACTTTGAGGTTGATTGAAGTGAGCATGCATACTTGTGCCTGCATCCCCTCTTGGTCTGTGCTGTGGAAGTTGGGTCACACAACGCTCTTACCATGATTAAAACTAGAGAGGCTATGGAGACGTAGCAGCCAGGGCCATGCCATTACCATTTTGATTGGCACAGAAATGCCCCACCAATCTCCCCACTTTCATCCATCCCACTTGCAGCAGAAATACCTTTACAGAACCCTGGTAGCTGTGCAGTGCAGGGTCATGTTGAGGGTGGTGCGTGTATATGCACCTGAGTCACACTACCAGCCACCCCAAACCAAAATTGCATTCTGAAATTAAAACAGCATCACAAAAATTGTTCTCCATCTGAACAGGGTAGAGTACGGTAGATGCCAAGCAACCAGACAGAAACCAGCAGAACCCACAGGAGCACCATAAGTAATTAATGTGCATTGACAAATAATTTTCTTTTGCAGGGGTGAGGTGGGAAAGGGAGAGCCTGTGATGAAGGGCAGCTGTCACACCTAGGCTAAGCCTCCTCCACTGAGGCAGGCAGTGATGGCTGGTGTACTGCTGCTGAGAGAGGAGGATCAGTGGGCAGACACTACACCCTCCCTCTCATTTTCTGAGGCATTCCTAATTCCTGAGCAGGGCTTATTGTTGATTACGTTGCATTGGTTCTGCTGCTAGCCTGGCAAACATGCCCCCTCAGTTTATGCTGCAGAGATTCTCTGGTTTGACCTGAGTTATGCTGGGTTTGGCACTGACTGCCACAGTGACACTGGTTCTGGGGGACACATTGCACAGGTTCTGCTGCTGCTGGCCTGGCAAACATGCCCCGTCACACCACCACACCTCACTTACTTTCGTACAGAGAGATTCTTGCTGCCTGCCTTTTCCCCATCCCCATAGAAAACAATGGAGAATTGGGGGCACACTCTTTGGATGCCCCTGGAATTGGACCCTATGGTCCAATCTTTTCAAAACTATAGGGGTCTTTTGGGGAGAGGCTCCAGCAGCTACAGTGCAAATGTGGTGCCTCTACCTCAAACCCCCTGAAAACTTGTTAGAAGATTTTTGTCATTGACTACAATGGCCCCATAGGATATAATGGACTTGAAAATGTTCAGGAATACTGAACATTTTCAGCTATCTATACAATACCGGTACTGGTATTCAGGTTTTTTCAGTATTCCTGAAAAAATTCGGGTTCAATATACCCAAATCCGAAAAAAGAATTTTTTCCCCCTTGCACACCCCTACTCAGAACCCATTCATAGATTGTGTTTCAGGTCAAAGATTTTGCTTGGAGTGTACCTTCACGTCTTCATCAAGTTTCATGATCTTCTTAATGCGTGCCAAGGGAAGCTCCTGGACTCTAAAGTCTTTCTGCAGAGTTAAACAAGGAAAGAGAAAGGTTGACACTGCCTCTGCTAGCCAGCATTCAACACACAAGTGGAGGTTACAGCTGTATCAATAAGAAACAGACAATCATTCCAAGGTGGCTAAGAAATGTATTGTACCACCTGCATCCTTCCCCCATGATATGGCACTTAATGCTTCCTTTCATTAGCAATCCACTTCTACATTTACGCAAGAAACCTGTATTTCTAAAAGGCACAATTTGGTTCCTATAACACAATCAGGATCTCTACAGACATTTTGGGGAAAAGAAAACTATGCTATGCTCCTGCAGAGTGTAAGGAGTTGGACTAGATGACCTGTAAGGTCCCTTCCAACTCTAACATTCTATGATTACACATTATTCAATACACTGTGATGGTTTTCATGCATTTTCAACCCAGTGTGTGCACTATACTAGAATGCATGCTGGCTTCCACCCAGCTAAACTTGGGACAACAATGACTTACCTTTATTTTCCAAATCTGGAAAAAGAAAGCCCACAAGTTTCAAGGCCCTGACCTAATTTGGTGCTGTGACATGTCAGGGATGAACTGCATGCTGCTGGGGAGAGTGTGTCTGACTTACTAAAATACGTAATAAAATGTACTCCACTACAAAAAAGACACTGCTGTACCCTTCATCTGCTCTCGTGTTCTTTGGTGTGTAAGCACAGCTCACCATAAGACTTTAACAGGAGCCTATGGGAGAGACATTCTTTGAGAGAAGCAGGGCCCAGAGTGTATGAAGGGCTTGAAATAGTCAACATTAAACACTGTAATCAGCCTCAGGAGAAAAAAAAGGACAGTTCAGTTACAGTTCAGTACAGGCTGGTTATGTTCATGCCTCCCCACTTCTGGAAGAGAAATGACATCAGGCTTTCATACCCTACAAAAGCAGCTTCACTGCAGGTTCTAGTAGTCAGTCCTCAAGGTTACAAAAGCATGCCTGGCTGTGGGCAAAAACTTGAGTACAGGAGGAGTCATATAAAAATGATAAAGGGTATATTTAGCCAGCAGCAAAATGAATCTCAGCAGCACACCCAAGCTGCAAGGTTGCTCTATGACTGGCACTCAACAGCAAAACCAGTTCCCCAAGAGCACCTAGATTCCCCAAAACCAATCAGGAAAAGTAATATTGAATATTATGTGTTACTATATTGTGGATACTGGAATAAAATCTAGTAGGCAGTGTCAACATCTGTAGTCAGCTCCAGAGAACTCAGGGGGTTCCTTGGAAGCTTCAGGGGTCTGCAATAAAATCTGCCCCTTCAGTTCTGGGATTCCGAAAGCAGTAACACAAGGAACTATGTAACCTGTAACTACAATAACATGCTAACACCATAGCAACTTGCAAATAGAACATTAACTAATGTTAATGAGAATATAGATAAGAAGAGCGCAGCAACAGACAGAATTAAGCTGACAAGAGGAAAGCGGGAGGGCCTAGATGTCTTCCTTATCTCAGAGGAGAAGTGTCAGTAAACTGCCATTTGTACTCTGGGTATGTTCTGTGTAACCTGCCTGATGTATGATGCGAGGGGACTAGCCTGCATTTCTCTGTTCATATCCTCCCAGTGCCACTTTGCCATTTGTTTTGGCTTTGGAATGTTGTGCTGCCTTTGTAGTTGATAAGACTGTGAGAACTGCTGCTGGAGCCATTCCCAATCTGGTTGGTGTGAATCAGATGGCTGGAAGCTATCTCCCGCCTTGATTTTCTCCCGCTTGAATTCCTGCTGTGCACAAACTGTATTCATTGGACAATCCTGTGTGTTTGAACTCTCTATATCTGTCCCTGCTTGGTTTTGAGTTTCATTCCTGACAATGACTATGTAAGAGCATCAATAGTGACTTGTAATAAAGCAACCTATTCTTATGAATCGTTGTGGACTGCAACAGCTCTATTGAACCTGACAACGGGCTGCTTCCGGCCCACGGGCCGTATGTTTGACACCCCTGCTTCAGAGAGCCTTCCAGTGGAAACTGGAAGACTCAAAGACACTCTCTACAGTTGGTGCCACAATGTGCTGTAGGAATCCTCTTTCAAAAGCTGCATCAGCTGAAGCCAAGGTATGTAGCTTGTAATGTTGAAATTGAAGACCATGTGGCTGCCCTACAAACCTCTTCCACAGATGCGTGATTGAAGAAGGCAGCGTTGGTAGAGGCGCTGCAGAGAGAGTGTGCCGTAACAACCTTGGGAACTTCCAAGCCCGTGGCCTTGTACGCCTAAGCAATGCATGTCTTGAGCACTGAACTGATGGAGGCTCTGGACATCCTTTCTCCCTTCTTTGGTGGGGAGATGTTGATGAATAGGCAATCTGTTTCCTGATGGATTCGGATCTGGCGATATATATCTTGAGGGCCCGTCAGACATCCAGGGTGTGCCGCACAAACTCTTTAGGATGCTTGGGCTGTGGACAGAAGGTAGGTAGATAGACCTCCTTGGTTCGATGAAAAAGTGAAGAAGCCTTTGGAAGGAATGTAGAATCTGTTCTGAGGATCACCTTCCCCTTATAAAAAATTCACAGGTTGCTCTTGATGGAGAAGGCGCTGAGTTCAGAAACCCTGCACACCGAAATTATCGCCACCAGGAACAGCATTTTCATGCACAATCACCTGACTCCAGCTTCTCTCAGTGGTTCAAATGGTGCCTTAGTTAAGGCAGCGAGTACTGTGTGTAGTTTCCAGGTAGGGAAGCGATGTAACTGAGGCAGAGCCTTGAGAGGAATAGCTGAACATGAGGGTGCTTGGTCAACTTGTAACCTCCTATATCACAGGAAGTACTGTCGAAAGGGCCACCGGCTGTCTGTGTAAAGTCACTGACTTGAGACCGGAGTGTAAACCCTCTTGGAGGAACAACAATACCGAAGCTATGGAAGGATGCAATGGGTTTAACTTCTTCCGTCTGCACTGCCTAACGAAAGCCTTCCAAGTCTCATTGTAGATGCGAATGGTTGACTGTTTTCTAGAGGCAAGTATGGTGTCTGTCACCTCCATAGAATATCTAAGCAGTTTCAACTGGTTCCTTTCAGTTTCCAGGCGGTCAAGCACAGACATTTCGGGTGGGGGTGCCAGATCAGACCCTGGAGAATGTCCGGGGCTACCGGTAGCATTAGCGAGGGATGAACCGACATCTCCAATAGAGCTGAGAACCACGGACATCGAACCCAAAAGGGGGCTGCTAGGATGATCTCAGCCCTCTCCTCTATCACCTTCTGGATGGTCTTGGGGATGAGAGGGAAGGGTGGAAATGCGAACAGAAGCCCTTGAGGCCACGGAGAGGTCAATGCATCCGTTGCTTCTGCTGCTGGGTGGTGGTATCTTGTGAAGAACCTGGGAAGCTGATGATTCAGTCGAAAAGCAAATAGATCCACCAGTGGAGCCCCCATTTCGTGGCAGATGAACTGGAATATCCTGGGGTGTAGAGACCATTCCCCTTGGAAATAGTTTCCCTGCTGAGCCAATCCGCTTGCGTGTTGCAGATGCCCCTGATGTGCTCTGCCTGTATCAAAGTGATGTTCTTCTCAGCCCATGTCAGGATCTTCGAGGCTTCCTAGCTGAGTTGAGATGACCTGGAGCCTCCCTGTTTGTTCAGATAAGCTTTGGCTGCTATGTTGTCCGTCCTGACGATCACATGATGGCGATGGATCTGTTGATGGAAGTGACTCAGCAGAAGCCTGATAGCCCTGAGTTCCAGGAGGATGATCAACAAGGCTTGCTTGTCTGGGGACCATCGCCCTTGAACTGGCACATTGTCCAGGACAGCTCCCCAGCCTAGCAGACTGGCATCTGTGATCAGTTCTTTGGCAGATGGAGTAATGAAAGACTTTGCCCTGACAAAGATTGCTGAGATCTGTCCACCACAGAAGGCTGTTCTTGCCTGCGCATGGAACCTGGAGGTTTCAGTTCCTCTTCTCTATGATGGGTTGTTGATACAGGTGGAGAAAACACTGCAGCTCCCTGGTGTGAAAACAACCCCATTGAACCATGTCTATGGAGGAAATCAGTAGGCCCAGGAGTCAAGCCAGGCCTAACAGTAAGGAATGGTTTCTCTGGATTACCAGAGATACCACTTCCTGGATCTTTTTGACTCTGGGCAGTGGAAGAAACAGAGAGTTGGAAGCTGTGTCTATCACCACTCCCAGGTGTTCTGTCCTCTGGGATGGGTGAAGCGAACTCTTGGGAAAATTCACGACAAACCCGTGGTCCTGTAGACAGCAGAGAGTCATTTCTGTGTCCCGTAGCGACTTGGCCTGGGAGCTGGACCAGATCAGAATGTCATCCAGGTACAAATGAATATGTATGCCTTGTTTCCTGAGGTGAGCAATAGGGCAGAGCAGAATCTTGGAAAAACCCTTGGGGCCATGGAGATCCCAGATGGAAGAGCCCGATATTGAAAGTGACTGCTGTTCACAGTAAACCGAAGAAATCTTCTGTGAGACGGGTGGATAGGAACACGTAGGTAGGCATCTGTGAGGTCTATTGATGTTAGGAAGTTGCCCTGCTGAATGTTCTGTTACGAGCCGGCCTAGGCTGGGAGAGCGGGATAAAAATCAATCAATCAATCAATGGACCTCAACATTTCCATGAGGAAGTGTCTGAGCTTGATGAATCTGTTGAGAAATTTGAGGTCCAGGACCGCTCTCCATTTCCCATTTTTTCTTTGGGACCATGAAGAGAAGAGAGTAAACGCCATGGCCCACTTCTGGTGGTGGTACCGGTTCGATCGCCTGGATGTCAAGTAAGTGTTGGAGAACTGACTGTACTATGAACTTTTTGTTGGTCTTCTTGGATAATGGGGACTGAAGGAACCTCTCCGGTGGAAGGTTGTGAAATTCTATCGTGTATCCCAGGGACACTACGTCTAGAGTCCAAGAGTCTGCTTGAGAAGCTTCCCAGCATGGAATAAAATGGAGAAGATGTGCTCCCACTGGACTGGATCTGCAGTCATGCCTATTTAGGTTTAGCATCACAATTTGGGCGATTGTT